TTGCTAGAAAAATTATGACTGAGTAATGAGTTCAATCCTCGCTGGGTGCCCCATACTTTCAACCTTGTGCCACACCTAAGATATTTAAAAAAAAACATTTACAGTCTACTTCACTACATGAGTCTTTCAATAAATCATGCAATCATTGCATCGCAACTATAAGTTCTAAAATTGTTTAAGAAAGCTATAACTAAGACATCTGCATTTGAGTTTTAATATTAAAACCTGTTTTCTCCAAGTCAAAATTAATGAACTTCATGTATTTGGCATCAGAAACCCGAGATGTTTTTGGGCTGTAATCCAAAGATTTAAACACTTATTAGAAATCAAACATAATGCCAGGGAATCAGTGTATGGTTGGTTAATGAACAATATTTACAGAATTTGTTAATCTTCTATTTCTATGTGTTGTGTCTCTTCAGAACGTTGGCGATCACGGCTCTTCACAATTTCCTGTCTTTTGCAACTTCTTTTGTTACTTCTCATAAACCTTCCTCTACTATCCATTTACTATTTACAAATAGGTTTCCTCTGTCCCTCTTGCTTTCAATCTCTCCTGTGAGTATCAAATTTTCCAAACCCTTTTTACTCATTATGTGCTCTAAAAATTTCAACTAACTTTCTGATATTAAGTATAAGTGTCCTTTTTGCTTCCATTTTCTCTAAAACTTCATCAGTGATCACATTTCAGTCTATGATATTCTCAGCATCCTCCTGTAGAACCACATTTCTGGTGCTTCACATCTCTTCTTCATCTGTGAGGAAGTTATCCAGCATTCACTGCAATATAGATGTGCTGATATTACATAACAGTTCAGTACACTTTTCTTTGTTTCTAATGAAATTTTTCTGTTTCTTAATACTTTGCTTAGCTTTTGGAATGCATCTTTCGCTATCCAGTGTCAGACTTTATAACCTCTATTGAAATACTTCCCAGATATTTAAATTTTTGTACTTGTTTGATTTTGCTATCACAAAATTGTAATTTACATATTGGGCTGTTCCTTTTGCTAACAATCATACACATTCCATCTTCTTGCAATTGAAGTTTAGTCCTTTCTTTTCTGCTTTCCTCCATTACCTTCTGTAGGAGTTATTGTCATTTCCTTTCTGTGCCTGACATCAACACTTTGTCATCTGCATATCTTATGTTGTTAAGAATATGGCCACCAGTAATGAATCCTGGTAGGACTTCTAATTCTCTCAAAATCTCCTCACTGAACAGATTGAATAAGTCCAGTGAGATGACACATCCTTGTCTTACACCACTTTTTATTTTTGTATATTTACTGAACTTATAATCTATCTGTATGCAGGCAGGTTCTGGATTATTCTAATGTCCATCCGAAATATGTTATGGTTACCTAGTAGTTTCAACAGTTCTTTGTGATTTACTTTATCAAACATTTTTGCATAATCTATAAAAATACAGTTACACATTCCTCTGCATTTGTATATCATCTTTCTGATATCATTCTGAATATGAATATTGCATTACTTATTCCAATGTCTATAATGAACCTGTAATGTTCTTGAAATTTTCAGGTATGATTCTGCTGCATGCATGACAAAAATTGCTTCCTTCTTGGTGAAGATTAAACACATGAGCGATCTAACAAGCTTGTGTAAATGGATGGCAGAACAGGGTTTAGGAGAGAAGACAAAAGACTAAATTTACTAAGTGCTACAAAGGACAGGAAATTGTGGAGATTCATGATTGCCAATGTCCTGAAGGGATATGGTACATAGGAGAAGCTATGTTTAATGTTCCACAAATTTATAAAAAAGTGAAGAGTGAACAACAAGGATTTGTAAAATATAACAATTTTTTTTTCGATGAAGTTTTGCAACAAAATTTAAAATTTTTGCACTTGATAATAAAGTCTCTGTTTGCTTGAAAGATTAAATATGCAGACCGGAAGATGAAATAAATACTGTTTAAAAATAAATGAAGCATTTACTCATATACTAAAAACAACATTTGAAGTCATAAAAATATACACTATTTACATTGTTTGGACTATCATCCTCATTTTTGTTGCCATATTTATCACAGCATTTTAGCCATTATACACTCCGGCCTTCTTCAGGTGGTTGGAATGTCAAACTGAATCCTTTATTTCACTCATAATAAGGATTGCCAGAGAAAAGCAACAATAACAAAAAAAAAAAATGCAATATAAGCTCTGGTAAAAAGCATGCAATGATAACAGCAAAAAATTGCAATATGAGTACTGGTAAAAAATAGTTGCTGAAGACATTAAGTTTATAATATCCAGAAATTCATGCACGGATGGACACATGGCACAGTGGTTAAAGGTGTTAGTTAGATCCAGTGACAGGACCCAAAGAGTGCGAGTTCAATGCCTGGTTAAGGTAGTGGAGAACATGGAGAGGGGAATTAACAGGAGATAACTGATAACTGACATCCATTAGAAATGGCTTGTGGAACTAAAACAGTCTACCCCAGCAAGCAAAATAAAGGGTTCAATTAGACATTCCAATTACTTGAAGAAAGCTGGAAACATTGTGATAAATATGGCAACAAAGATGAGGATGATAGTCCGAACAATGTAAATAGTGTACATGATACCTCATCTCAGAAATATAGAAAGATAATTAAAGTATGTCAGATTAAAAAATAAAATCCATTAATACTTTAGAAATTGCCTTTTTTACATTTCGAAACTAAGCAGATATGTGTTTCAAGAAAAATCTGAACAAGTAAGTGTGCTCTGAAAGCAAAATAGAACCTTGCTTTATTGTGAACCTCTTTGCAGACACATGGCAATAGCACACCAGATCAAATGGTGGTTGCAGAGTGAGATGCAGGTTCAAATCCTACTGGAGGGCATGTTTTCTTTATTTAATTTTCTTGTGTATACAGGCCAGTAGACAAAATAAATACTGTCTGAATGTAAACAGAGCATCTACTCGGATATGCGTATACACAAAAATAACATAAATAACATTTGAAGTAATAAAAATATATATGTATATAAATATCTTTATTTTTTAAAAATAAAAAGAAAAATTGGGATTTTTTTGTAATGAAGAAAGAATCAAAAGTGAACAGAAAATAAAGGTCTTTTTGTGAATAAATAAAATTCAACAAGTTAATTTGTATAGACATGCAGTTGTGAACGTCTTGAAAAGCAGGAACTGAATTCCTCTTTTCTCCTTTTTCCTCTCTTTTAACAAGCATCTTTTAAAAACATATTTTGCACAGACATAGCTGTAGACACCTGATTTGGCACATACAAATAATTTTGATTTCTGAGTGTGTTAATTGAAAGGTATTAAAATTCAAATAAATTAATTAATATGTATGAAAAAAAATGAAACTTTGCAACATGAAAATTTGATTCATGTTTTAAATGATGCGTAAAATTTCAGATAAAATATATCTGTAAAAGGACAATATAAATAAAGACAAAAAGAAAACTTATCTTAGCTGATATGTTACACTTGTTGCTAAGGTAAGTTTTTCTTTTGTCTTTAAATGATGTGTAAATTTTATCTTTTTATGTAAATTATAAGCTGACTAAATTCTAATTTAAGTTGGTTTCTTCTTAGTTGGAATATTGCGTTTCATTAATAATATTTAATAAAATAATATTATTTTCTTCAAAGTTGGTCAAATTGTAAAATATATTTTAATGATGTGCCTGTTATAATTTAAGAGTATAACTTTTGTTTGTTTTATCAGATTTTAATTTCTATATATTTTCATAATTATTCATGATGTAAGACTATTACGGTTTTAGTAACTTCATGTTGTTGCTAGTAGTCAGATTATAAAGCAGCAAAAGTAATATATTAAAGATTTACAAGATACAAAAATCTAAATCTTTATCAGACCAAAAAATGCTATTTATATTAAAAACACTCTTTCGCTCTTTTTATTTCCATTTGTCTTCCTTTTTATTTACTTTCTTTTTCTTTCTTTTATTTTCTTTTTCTTTTTTCTTTTACTTTCTCTCTATTTCCTTTCTTTTACTTTCTCTATTTACATTCTTTCTATTTACTTTCTCTCTTTTAATTCTTTTAATTTGGAATGTTGTTTTTAATAATATTTAATAAGTTTATTTTCTTCAAAGTTGGTCAACTTGTAAAATATTAAAATATGTTTCTATGATATATCTGTTATCATTTAAGAGTATAAAATCTATTTATTTTATTAGATTTTAATTTATATAGATTTTCATGATTATTCAAGAAGCATATGCAATAATCAGTACAAAGGTTGACTATGAAGCTTGTGGGCTTTTGTCCAAGAATTTAATCACTCAGTTATCTAAATGTACCCACCAAATATAAATGATGCATGAGAGTGTGCATGGTGCCTGGTAGACCATACAACCAAATGGCAAGTTATGAGAAGATAAGATTAGCAGATAGGATTAATAAGCCTCTCCTGATTGCACTTACTTCCTGAACTGATGGGCATCTGTCCAGTGTTCTAGCCACTGAGTTACATAAAAAGTTCAAACAGAACAAAAGCTGTTTGTCTTAGAAAAAGAAAACTCAGCTTGATGGTTAGACTGTAGTAATAAGTGAACCATGAAAAAGAGGGTTAATTTGAATCTACCCTAAAGCAGACTGCAGAATAGAACAAGCAGGAGAAGTAGATGCTAAAGTGGATATGATCTATGCTAGCTGCTGCCCAGATGGATGGATATTATTCATGGTTGGTGATCATTTGGTGGGTAGGGATAAATTGTGTAATAAATGAAGAGTTTTAGAATGAGTAAAGAATGAAGGTGGGGATGAAAGTGTTTTTATAAATATTAAAGAGAAGATTGTAGTAATATGTAGCAAAATAGCAGAACAAGGAAAATGGATGAAACAATTAATGAGCTGAGAATAAAAGCAAAGAAAAAAATAAAGGTGGATATGAACTAAAAATAGAACATGGAAAGTGCCAAGAAAAAGAAAGAAATTACAAATAGAATAAATAAATAAAAAAAAGATGCAAGTTTACAAAGTCAATGAAGGTGCTATGAGAAAGAGATAAAAAGGACATGAAAGAAAAAGAAAGGTAAAAGATAATATATTTGTAGGGAAGATGTTAGAAAGATGAAAAAAGACAAAAAAAAAAGACAGAAGGAAAAGTGAAAGAACAGAACAAAGAGAAAATATGTGAAAAAATAGAATGGCAATTGGTTTGCAAAAAAAACTGATTAAAAATTTGAATTAAAATGAGTTTCAAGTATATGTGAAAAACTGAAATTAGAAGAGTAAAGAAAAGAGAGAAGGAAGAAATAGATAGATAGATAGATAGATAGATAGATAGATAGATAGATAGAAAAGTTAAAAGTGAATGCTGAGGTCAACACCGAGTGGTTACAATCTGTTTCATACTTGAATGCAATCTTCAGGCCATGTGCGTTGTGTGTTGGCTCAACTATTTATATATGCTGCTCAATGGTGCATTATGGATAGCAAGGTCTGTTGTGTTATCCTAACAGTTACTGCTTTCAAAGAGGTTACTGGAAATAATTGAAAATCCAAATGTTATTTGTATCTATTTTATAGTGTGTTGTTTGTTAACTTTTTAAAATCATTATTTATTATTGATTACTTAATTATTTGTTGTTGATTATTATCATATTTACTTCTCACTTGTGGAAATCTCTTCCAGCTTCTTGCTTTCCAGTCAATTTTAATCTTCAAAAATTTAAATACAATGTCAATCATTATCTTTTTGTCTTCTTAATTCCTGTTCTTTTATTGCTGACTCTCTTGTTTTTCTTTTTCACATATTCTCTCACACTCATTAATCCCTTGCATTACAGTGACTTTATTGCCTTGCTTGGGGGTGAAATGATTAAAAAAAGAGCTAACACAAGCATATATATATATATATATATATATATATATATATATATATAATATGCACTATCTTTGATATTTCCTTGTTACTTAAATATTTCAATTTTTTGCAAAAGATTTTAAAGACAATATTCTTAATCTAGGGAGCATTTATAAATATCAATAAAAGTTCTCTATCATTTATTTTTAAAATAAACAAGTTTTATTTTTTGTATTTATTTATTGTATTAGATTTAATTTTTGCTCATACTTACATATATTAGAAATTAGATACATAAACAAAATATATTTAATAAAATTGTGCATAATATTAAAAGAAAAAGAATATATATAATATATATGATTCAGGAATAATAGCATATTCTATATGGTCAATAGACTGAATAAAATGTAATCACATGTCGGATTTTGACTTGTGGATCATAATTCATCGACCTCCTGTCCTTGGCTTTTCGTACGTAATCGTCAAAAGAAAGTATCTACTTCCCTTGCACTCGTAAGCTTAAAAACGATAAAAATGAAACTTTGGAATAAAAATGGGAATATTTTATTTACACAATTTGAAAAAATGAATTTAATAATTAATGCAGCCACAAATAATTTATAAATATTATTTATAATAAAAATGGTAATATTTGTATGAAAAACTAATTAAGAAAATGTTGGAATATGTATAAATTAATAATCATACATATCTATATAAGTCTACCATTAGCCCATGCATAGAATATTACTGCCACATATGGTCCAGTGCTCCTGCTATTTATCTAGAGCTATTTGATAAACTCCAAAGAAGAATCAGCAATATTATCGGTCCTGATCTGGCATCTCGGCTTCAGTCGCTTTCCCATCGCCGTAAGGTTGCCTCTATGTGCCATGACGAGTTCTGTCCCTTCTCGTTCTATTTCCGTTCGCTGTGTTCGTTTTTTCTGTAATAAAGCGCGTTCCTCTCGTTCATTTTCAATCTTCATTAAGGTTAGTTGTTTTTCCTTCTTCTTGAGAGTCACTAGTCTGTACGAGTTGGTATTCTATCTGTTGTGATTATTAATCAAACTAGAGACGTAAGAAGACGGTCTGTCTTACTGGCGTGGTGGCAGCGGTTATCGAACTAAACGCAAAAATGGTGTCTGACCAAAGTGGAGACGATAAATTCCTTTGGAAACAAAACCTAACATACATCCTTTCTCTCGACCCCAATTTTAGTAGTTTCCTTGCTCCTAACACCACATGGCTGAAAAGGACGAGCGACAACACCAACCGGGGTTTTATCAACGACGGTGACCCTATGACCGTAACGAACAGGCAGACAGCTAATCAAAAAAGGTAGTACACCTAGAATTAATGTTGGGTCAAATAACCAACTACTGCCCTATCTAGGAACACTATCGCTAAGAACTTCACCTCTATTGAGTCTATATGGCAAACCATCAGGACCTACTATGGCTTTCAATACACAGGTGGTCACTTTCTCGACATGAAACTCGAAGTCAACGAGCACCCTGAAGACCTTTACCAGCACATACGTTTTTGATGACCATCATCCTCACACACATACATACATACATACTTACACAAATTCAAATTATACAACAGCAAGCATTCATTGGATAATAAATCAACACTACTGTATAATGGACAATTTATAAATCGCAGCTATGCGACAATTTTATAATCGCTATATTTTCATGTAGTCGATTTTGTGCACTTTTGGGAGAATCGGATCCCAGAAGTTTTTCGTGAGTTTCCCCAAAGCTTGCTCGCTGATTGGTCAATGCCAACCAATCAGATTATCTGCACATGAAGAGTGATTCTTCCCGCGCAACGCTTTCGGAGCCGATGGTCACCTATATAAACAAAGAATATTCTTAGTAAATTAGTAAGATTTCAGCTGCCACAGGAATCCACGATAGTTGAAACCATGCTCCAATCTTCTCACTCACACCAACACTCACAGGCTGAATATTCCATATACTCGCATAATATTTTTCTTACACAGCAAAACTGTTGAAAACATTTATTACCAGAAACTATTACAACCTTATTTCTTTCAGTGAACTTTGGAACAATTGATAGTTAAAGAAAGACAACTTTTGTTTTACTCAATACATGTTTTTTTTCACATCCTTGTTTGTACATCTTGTTAAATACTAATTTTATGTGTAATGATGTCTTTGGCTTATCCTCTTTTTTCATCACATCAGTTTGGTTTCCTAATCTAAGTTAAATTAATGTGGTGGAGTTCGCCAGACTTTCATTCATTGAAGACAACCTCTTCAAAGCCAATGGGATCCTCACTCACAACGGCGAGATTATCGAAGAGGACGAGGGCATAATCCCTTCCTTTGAGAACCTGATAGTCCTATTATGGCTAAAACTTACCCACTCAGAGTTACCCAAATTCGTGAAACAATGGTATGGGACCGAGCTGAGATCGAGGAACCTACCCTCCCTGAAACCTGAGATCTCACAATCAATTACGACACTTCTTGACGAAATCAGCAGCTTCCAAGAAGCCAGGATAATGCGATCCATCCCAAACAGCTCATTGGGCACGATGTTCTCACAAGACCGACACGCTATCCAATATAATAAATTCAAAAACACGACACGGCGTCCCTACCCAGTACAACTCCAGGGAATGCAACCTTTGTAAACAAGTTGGATGAACTGTGACTAACCATTACCTCAGCTCATGACCTTACCTGTTCGAAGATGATAAATGCTTCCTAACGAAGGCACGCTTAATAGCATCCATTGATGAGGAAAACTCTCAATGAACCTATCCTATAATGAAACACCCCATAACCCTCCTGCTCACGGATGTCCACATCATGTACAAACCAAACGGTCCCCATATCTGTATATGTTTCATAGGCATCACCCACTGAAAAATACCCTTGACTCAGGAGCTGAAATCAACATAATAAAACATTCTGTTGCTCACTTCATAGTGGACCCCCATACTATTATCCACACAAATCACATTCCAGGCTAATGGTGTCACACCAATGGAAGTCATCGGTGAAACGCATCTAGAACTGTCTCGGAATGGTAGATCTTTATCGCTCCAAGCCCTCGTAGTAAAAGATCTAGACGTCGAGGTCCTTGGCGGAATACCATTCATGCCTAACAATGATATAACCATCAGGCCTGCTAAGCACCAAATATCATTCAGCAATGTCGAGATTTGTTCATATGGCGACAAATATCCGTCAAAAAGCCCTAATGCTGTTTGCTTCGCCACACCTGGCATCCTTCAATGTGAAACTCACAACACAGTTTGGTCCGGCGAATACATCGAACTAAACACACACCACGGATTTACCGAAGACACGACAATCGCAGTAGCGTCACACACGGATTGGTCTTCACAAATCCGCCAACTATGGCCTTGCCCCACCATAACTACAAACGTGGCCGGCAAGGTCCGCATTTTCAAAACATATGACCTACCCGTGACCCTTAAAAAACACGAACACGTCGGTCAGTATCTTTTCCCCGGAGCCCCCATCGAAGAGCTCAATTATACATCTGCCCCCAATAACACACACCGAGCCTCCGAAGGCAGTTAAATGTCTCAGATCATTAATCGGTGCACCACTTGACAATATAGTGACCAATAAAGTTTCAAACAACAAGATACGGTGTCTGGAGAATTACTTGCCAGTTTCAGTGCAGTCAAGAAGCATATACGGACTATCCGGACCATAATACTGCCCCACACCAATGACCTACTATGGATTGTGACAGATGCCGTCATCAGGAAACCGGGCCTTGGTGCTACACGCTATGTAACTAGAGACGGCAATAAACCAAAAGTCGCTGGCTTCTACAGCACTAAGTTGAAGAAGTTGCAAATAGAGTAGCTCCCTTGTGAAGTGGAAGCTTTATGCATCGTGGCTAGCAAAAACCATTTCAGTCCATACATAATTCAGTCCAGAAAGCAAAACTGCGTCCTAACCGACAGCAAACGTTGCGTCCAGTCATTTGAAAGACTCTACCGTGGTGAGTTTTCCACAAGTCTAAGTGTTACAACATTCCTTACAACAGTAAGTCGTTACTAAATCTCCCTTCGCCATCTGAGCGGCTTATTTATCCTCCCATCGGATTTCCAATGCCGCAACGCTCCAGAATGTCACGACCCAGGATACAAAATCTGCATTTTCGTATCCCAACTCGAAATTTCTCCTGTACACAACATTCCCATCAAGGACGTCATCTCAGGCTGTTAGCAAGTTGCCCCTCATCTCCCGTTCTACATAGGAACAGGTCCAGACAGAATGCCCTGACTTACGCCGCGCACATGCCCATCTTGTTCAAGGCACTAGATTAGAGGTGGGAAAACTACGGCCCGCGGGCCACGTCTGGCCTGTTGGTCTTTTAACCCATCCCACCGAAGACTGACAGAATTATGACTGCGTTCATTTGACCTTGTCCTGTAATGCCTGGCATCCCACTAGGTGGCGCATTCGCCAATATTTCCATGCGCCACGGAACGGCTGCGCCACGGTCACCGGAGCTAATCGCTACCGCCAATGTCACATCTTAGCAGCGCTCCACCAGCGTCTCTCTGCACCGCAGCGCTAACAATTCGTAGCAGTTCTATTTTTGACGGAGCCGTTGCTAAATCGCGTCAAGCTCAACAGAGCAGATTGCACCAGACAGGAAATCCGACACAGAATCAACGAATATACACATCCGCCCCTTTCTAAATAAAACGCAGGTCATATATAGCTGATCACAAATTCACATAAAAATTACGTCATAACCGGTGACACCAGGTCAACAGGCAATTGATTAAAAGGTGACTGACTAGCAAGCTTACCCATGGTAGAAGCAGAAAACTGGAAATACGGCCAGACGAACAGTTCTTCCACGTCGGAGAATCAAAGTAAGCTGTTTGTTGTTGTTGTTTTATTGCATGATCTCGTGGTCTCGCGTACGTTCAGGATTATCGCGTAATCTCGCGTGAATACGGCTGGCTCGCAAGGCAGCGCTACGCTGCTATGATGCGCCCGGTGGAGATTGAAGAAGAAAAAAAAAAGAGGACGGAGCAAAACTGACACAGCCTTGAACCCATCTGCAACAATGAATGTCCCAAAGAAAAGAAAAGTCGACAGTGAGTGCCGAGTGTTTAATAAAGAATGGACAAGTAAATACTTTTTCATTGAAGTCCGGTCAAAGGCTGTATGCCTTATTCGCCAAGAAACCGTCACTTTTCCTCCAAGCATGCTAATTACGCTAACAACCAGTCAACACAAGAACGGACGACTGCCGCTCAGAGATTGGCGGTTACTTTGCAGAATCAGCAAAACACCTTTCTGACAAACTGCCATCCACGAATTAAGCACAAAGGCAAATCATTTACTGGCATTCAAATTAGCAAAGACCAGCAAACCTTTCTCCGAAGAGGAGTTTCTCAAAGACTGCATGGCAGAAACACCAGCTATCTTGATGTACTGAGAGCAAGAACAATTTGAAAAAATTAGCTTATCACGTAGGACAGTGACTCGCCGTGTTGAACTAATTAACAAAGACTTAGTTAACAAGCTAAATAAAACGGAGTCATTTACATTATATTCATTGACACTGGGCGAAAATAATGACATAAAGGACACCGCTCAACTTTTAATTTTTATCAGAGGGATTAAGGACAATTAACGGGAGAGTTTTTGGCAATGGAATCCCTAAAAGAGACAACGCGAGTAGAGGACTTGTATGGCAGTGTGTCAGAAGTCATCGAAAGGCGCAAGCTAACTTGGCGTACGCTCGCCAACGTTACCACAGGTGAGTCGCCAAATTTGACTGGAAAAACGTTGGGCTGTTGAAAAGAAACCAGGACAGGGTGAAAGAGGACAACCCTGAGCAAGAGAGTAACTTTCCTATTCTGCATAATCTACCAGGAAGCCATGTGTAAATCCGTATTGCAGCTTGACTACGTAGTGAAACCAGTTGTAAAACTCGTTAATATTATTCGAGCGGGGGGACTTCAGCATCGTCAGTTTATTAAGTTTCTTGAAGAAAGTGACGTCGATCATCAGGAGTTGCTTTACCACCCCAATGTCTGTTGGTTAAGTTTGGGGAAAGTATGCCAACGATTGTGGGAGCTCAAGAAGGAGATAATCTCATTTTTGGAGCTACTTGAGAAAGCTGACGATGTTTCCTGAGACACAGATTGGATTTGTGATTTAGCTTTTACTGTGGACATACATACACACATGAATGAGCTGAACGTGATGCTACAAGGAAAAGACCAGTTTGTGCATGAAATGTACACAAACATCAGAGCCTTCAAAACTAAGTTTGCTTTATACTCAAAGCAAATGTCAAACAAGTCATTCGCTCATTTTCCCACACTGGCTACGTTGAAAGAGGCTCCTCGACATGTGAAAAATACAGGAAATCACTGGACGACCTGCATAAATAATTCTACCGTCGGTTCTCTGATTTCGACAAAATTGACAAATCATTTCAGCTGGTGTCATGTCCCTTCACACAAGACCCTGAAACGGTGCCACGGGAGTTGGAGTTGGAACTGATTGATCCCCAGTGTGACACTGTCCCAAAAGAGAAGTTCGACTCTCTTAAACTGGATGAGTTTTGTGCTTCATTAAGTGCAGTCACATTTCCAAACATCCAGAACATGGCAAAGAGGATGCTGGTGTTGTTTGGCTCTATTTATGTGTGTGGACAGACTTTTAGCCTGATGAACACCAAGCACCCCACAGATCCTAGTTGAATGATGGACAGCTCAGATCTCTTCTGAGACTTGCCACAACGAAACTAACACCAGACTTCGGTGCACTGGCAAAAAAGAGGTGATCAGCAACACTGTTCCCACTAAAAGTGAATGTAAGTATTAACACAGTAATGCCTTTTCCTGTTTATGTTTGATATGTATGCATCGGGTGCTGGCCCAGCCCGACATGTCGGTCAATTTTTAAAAGTCAATGTGGCCCCTGAGCCAAAATGTTTGCCCACCCCTACACTAGCCTACACTAAGACCATTCAAGAAAGTCACCGATGCTAATGACGTGAAACGATATCTACATCACGTATCGATTGCCAGTCATGGTCACCTCATTGTCAGACGCAAGAAAGCTTTCGAGGATATGAGAGTGCATAGACGCTCCCCGACAAATATTCTTTGGCTTATTACACGCCCTCCACATCAAACTGGACCACCCTTCTCACAACCAACTAGAGCAAATCGTATCAAGGTACTTCTTCGCCGTAGACAGCCACAAACGTATTGTGGATATATCGTCATCCTGTCATCTTTGCTACTCCTTACGCAAAGTCCTTGAGGCGATTGTAATCAATCCACCTCCAAACCCCCGGCATCGATCGGCATATCACTCATTTGGTTTTCCCAAAATAATTGGCAGGGAACGGGTTAATCAATTCGCCCCAAGAAATGGTGATAATGTCACTAAAACACAAGGAGGGCTACTAAGAGTGAAAGAGAATGGAGATTTTAGAAGGAACTGGAAACCTGATCCTAAATAAGCAGGGGACAAGGTGTTTCATAGGTCTAAGAGTGGAAAGATATGAGACTAGCCGTTTAAAAGTAGAAGCAACACACAGTCGACACGACACGTCGTAAACTCAACAACGTATTTTATTTAAACTGCCCGCTGAATCCGTCTTGATCCCAGCATTCCCTAGTGGGACCGGAAGTACTTATAATCATCATAATCAACATTATTGATGTTGTTATAATCAACATTATTGATTTTGTCTAAAATCATTTCT